GTGCGCATGCTTCCAGAGTCGCGTGACTTCCGCTGTCGTACCAGTATAATAACAGTTGTTATTGTTGGGAACAATAAGTTCAGTCAGAGAGTACTTTTTATAATTGAAGTTAATTTTAACGTATGATAACAAATGTCAATGTTGGGAACAATAAATTCAGTCAGACATTGTTTTTTATAAATAGATAAATGGTGCAAACATACTCAAAGACAAAATGAATTTGATTATATAATGTTGTTTTTTTTGTGTGTATGATATACTTTTTGTAATTTTAGCCAAAATTGCTATAACATGCATTCTTTTTGTGTGATAGAATATGAGTCTAAAACGTTGTATTAATGGCTGAGGTAGTTTAAAGTTTTAAACAAAATCATCCTCGTTCAGTTTGACAACCTTGCTATACTTACTGAGTTTTGGATGAATAAAATGAATATTTTATGGTTCATAGTGAGAGAGCTAATGGTATATATCAGTTAAAAGGGAGCATAATGAGCGCAATTCTGTGGATTATTTATGTATTTTTGTACTAACCTGGTAAGTGTGATTAGAACAGCGTAGGTATGTCTAGAGTTACTAGTTATTTTTACATACCGTATTTTTGTACAGTATATTTGAAACTTTGTGCATGTAATACATATACTTTTCTATCATACTTTTATTATAGGACTCAATATTAGTCGTATGTTATCGTTAAATAACTTAGCAAATGCATACCCGATAACTGTAAAATTTCCGCTAGCCAAATCTTATGATTTCACTCTGTATTTATTAACATTCAAATTACCAATTTGTTTATAAACCATCCACTACTGGTGAGACCTATATGTGTTGCATCATATTGAGTAATTTTATGTTTTTAAAGTATAAAGAAATTAAAAAAAATAAGTGAAATCATTATGTCTCTGTGCCAAATACATAGGAAACCATAACAGTAACTAATGAAATTAATTGAAATATTGATAATATCTTGTTTACTTTTTATTGTCATATGCTCCGGGTACAAGAAGATTAGCTTGCTGGTTCGCCAGTTCTTGTGAAAAATAGTTAATTCAAATAAAGCAATAGGTAATAATTGAACAAATAAATAATCATTGTTGAAAAATAATGTTGAGTTAT